TTTTTTTTTCAGTATCGAACCTCCTTAAAGCCATACTGATTTTCCAATAATTTGTTAACCTAACTCTTGATTGTTTAAAAATTTGTACGATACAATTTATAATTGACATAAACTGATAATTTGTTAGTTTATCATCAGATGGTACATATTTAATCATATAGGTCATGAAGTATCAGAACTACTGGCTCTCATTTTTTAAATTTATATTAAAATAGTCTTCTATTACCTCCTTTCCTCATCTTCCGATTTTATGTCGATACTTTCAGATTTGATCGACATTTCCGTCTCGTTAATATCGAATTCCTTGTCCAGATTTTCAGTCTTAACGAGTACATCAAGCGGACACATATCTATTCGACTTTCTATGGCTGAACTATCTGTACTTGTAATTTTTTCTTCTACCTCTGAACAATCTTTAAGGAAACTGTTGTGAGTACACAGAGAATCGAAGCAGGGATTACAAACAACGGGATCTTTGATGATATTTATATTCTACAAAGCAGTTTCGTTAAATTACAAAATATGTAAGTATTTAATATTGTTCATACCATTTCAGGAGCCAATTTCTCAATGGCTTCAAGTTCAACTTCACGTATGCATCTAAACTCACTTTCTACTGGATGCATACACAATCGACATATTTTCTGACTGCAAACTAAATCACTTTTCTTTTCCTGCATGTACACTTCTCTTAAGTCAAGCTGTAACATTTTTTCTCTATCCAAATAAGGAATAATTTTGTTATCGGTATTCAGACAGGTTGACTTAAACTCTAACGCCGCATTTAACTTTCTTCTGCAAACGTTACATATAACCTCTTTGCTCTCGTTATCAAATTTCTGAAAAATATGCAACTTTAAACAGGAGGAAAATAAGTGTAGCGAAAAATAACAATTAAATACTAAAAGTTGCTTTACACTTGAGACTATTAAGATCTAATCTAATTATATTTCACCGACTTACCAATTTTAAAATAACATTTAGAATGTTTCTGACAATATTGTTTACCACTTCAAAACTTTCATCGGTTATATTTTTAAAGCAAAGCCTACACGAAGTTTCCTTAACATCCATTGCTCTGCAACAATCTTTTATTACGTATAAATAGAACACAGATACAAAAAACAAAAATATATAGCCTTTACTTTTAACCTATGCATTCTAACCTTCTTGGATTTTTACTACGGCAGCAAATCAGCAATGACATCATCGTGGCATGTTATTTCTTATGAGGGCCTTTCGATTTGGCAAAAAGAGTAACTATCAGCAATAACAACTTAGAGTTACTCTGAACTGATATTAGGATGAACACAATTTGTACCCTCATTCATAGAAAGAAAAAGGAAATCTCTAGTTAGTTAGAGAACTTCTCACAGAGGACGGCCCCATCTAAAATTATGTGATCAAGCCATCGCATTCTAATCAGCTGTTGTCACTTTATATGTATTCTGTGGTTACCTCTTATGTTATTCGTTGTTTTTCATCAAGGATATTTATAATACATTATTATAGGTTTTTTTTCGCGAGTGAAGTCGTATATTGTAGTATGAGTGAAAGAAGATTTTAAACTACCATATGACAATTAAGATCAAAAGAGATAGAAATAGTAACTACAAGTCAGATATTCACCAATCTCCAGTCGCGAAAAAAAGCCTTATGTATGTATGTATGTATTATAAATATCCTTGGTTTTTCATGTTTGATTTTGACTGGTTTAACAGACAGTGAAGACTGGTGAAGTAATAATAATAATATCTCTACTCCTCATCCTAACCACGAGAATTAGCCCGGAAGTCGGAGGTTTGTGCGGGAGAGGCGGCATATTATTATTAAGCAGGCCGCATTTTCGCCCAGGAACGACTTATGTTGGTAGGCCCTAACTACCATTCACTGCAGGAATGATGGAAACCTGGAAAACCTCATTAATTAGGGGCGTGGTCAAATGCCAACCGGTGTCAATCTCTCACATTGACCCAAGCCAACAGTCTTCCACCCTACCATACCTGCACAGGGGGTGCCAATCCTCCGTAGAAGCATAACTAATCGATAGTCTACCGGCCGCGGGAATCGAACCCGGGCAGAATTAGCACACATCGATTTAAGCATCAGCTTGTTGTGTCCATAATTTTCTGCTTTTATCAAATTTTCTCCCTTTTTATTCAAATTTTATGTGCACACCCAGTTTAGTCAATGTAAAATGTAGGAAATATAATTATGTAGAATTGTAATTTAAAATTTCTAATGTTACCCTTTGTGTTCATTAATAATTATAAGCTTTTCTTTTCACTATTAACTACCATAAATACTGAAAGGAATAAAGAACACTATTTTAAATTCATTAAACGTAACTATATTTTATGCATTATAAACAGTTAATTATCTTAAATTAAATACGAGAGATTAAATTGATTGAACATCTAGGCGTTTTGTAGGACATTTGATACTTGTATACAAGATATCCATAAATATGTATCTTCAAAAAGGAAGGTAGTCCCTATGCTTCACTTAACTTTTCCTGCACCACCAACTGATACTGTAGATTAGAAGTTGACATACCAACATTCTCCGTTACCCGTGGTAAACAATTTAATACGAAACTATTTGTTATATACAAGGTGTTAACGAAATAAGCACTCAAAATTGGAGAGTATGTAAAACATGTCGAAATATGATGAAAACCTTAGTAGAGTTTTTGTCAGTGGCGGACCCTAAGGGAGATATAGTTCGTTGAAAGGGGTAACTCTGGAAACATTTTTTATTTCATAACTTCAAAAGGGCTTAATATTAAATCACAAAATTTTGTGGTTGTATTACTATTTATATGCTTAATCGGCATAATATACAAATCAAAATTTGCTACAGGGGCGTTTGAAAATGCGGGACCAAGGGACAAATTTTACAATTTTTTTGTACGCAATTTTTTCTACTTCCTGAATCGAAATTACAACATTGTTATCGAAAATTTGTTATTTAGAAAAGTGTTTCAAGTTTTTTTATTGAATATGTACTTGAAACGGTGGACTCGTTTTGATATATGTTGCCACAAATTGGCAGTTGAGAAAGTTAATAGTCCAAAAAATTAGGCAGTTGGGTTCAATGAACAATTAAAAGGTTTAGATAATAGGAAAAACCTAGAAGACAATATGTAGGTACTCTTATCTCTATTTTAGATGTGTGTTAGTTATGATGTAATATATAATATTACTAAAACTGTAAATAGTTTACCTAATTGTACCGAGTCTATGTCCTTGAATAGGTTTGAAAAATACATTTTTGACGTCACCATGGCTGCTGTCCAATAGAGCTCTTATAATGTACTTTCAACAAACTGTAAATTGTAGTAGTAATGTCTTTATAAAAAATAGTTGTGTTTAAACTTATACTATAGTTTTGTCCAAATTACTGCGAATTTAATTAAGGGTTAGTTGAAACTCGCCCTTATCCCAACTATTCTTTCTTCTTTTCATTCTTATGTAATTAATTTTCGATTATGTTTTGTGGATAATAAAGACCTTTATTATTATTATTATGTACTGATTTAGTGGAGTCAAGACAGATTTTGACTTCGCGAAAATTACGGAGAACTTTTTATTTTTCGCTTTGTAAAGTTGTCAAAAACAACATATAAAAAGTTACCAACTGTAGAGTGTACGCTAAATTATTTATTTAACAAATTAGTTGCAAAATTATAGTTTTTGCAAAATATATAAAAAAATATAATTAAAAAAAAACTAACTGCGNATTAAAAAAAATCGCAAATTTGACTTTTTAGGCCATACTTTATAGCTCAAAAACTATTGTTGTAAATGTGATATTGAAACTTTATGAGAGCACTTTTTAAAGCTTAAAATCTCCACTTTAAGATGGTGCATTTTATTACTCTTAAAAAATTGAAATAGTTGAATAAACAAAAAATTACAAAAAATAAAAATATTTTATGAAAAATCCGTGAAATTTATTGTTAAATAAAGTTTAATAATGCACAAAAAAATGTTTTTGTTATAACAGCAAAAAATAACGTTTTTTGATGAATTGATAAATTCTAATCATCCCTTTTATTAAAGTGAATGAATGATCCAAGGAAATTTGAATTACCTGCATACAAGAATAATATTTGTTGTAATAAATGTTATTTTTGTTTTTTAGGTTCTAATTTCTTATTGGAATTGGTAGTTTACATAAAATTAAATAATGATTTCAGCCCATGGGTGCATTTGCATCATGCGCCAAACGATAATTAAGTTGTGAAAACACATTTTTATTCAAATAAATACAAGGAAATAAATTCAAGAAACAATAAAATAAAATTGATCCCAAAAAATTATTTTTGTTCCATACATATTTTCTTATTCGCTAATAAATAATCAACATATTGGTGATATGGAGTGTAGACCAGAAGTGAAGACCCTTATGGGTCGCGTATACAAATTCGGATCTTGTTTTATGACACAAATTAAAGTTTTTAAGGAGCCGCCGTTGATGCACTGGAACGGAAAGCCTAGCAATGAAGTTGCGCTTACAAATTAAAATTTCCCGCACGTCTTTTTCATACTCTACTTACTTACACTAGCGCCGCCATTACCTGATCCAAGAAATGGCTCACTTTTGTGACATTCTGACATTGACATTTTTGACAGTCATTCTTGTATACACTCCATATCCGGCCCATTGAACATGTTCAAAATCATGTATTTTACTTTGAATTAGACCCTTCAATTAATTACATGTTCTACACAGTTGACAATATCTTAAAATAATTAATAAATTAAAATACACGTTTAACATACAGGGTGTCCCGAAATTCATGCAACAAAATTTGGTCGTAGATTCTTAAGACAAATTTAGGGGACCAGTATTTTTTCTTTTTGCCAACTGGCCCCCTCTTTCGGAGTTACAGCCCCCTGAACTTTGTCCCTAAGAAGTCTTTTTTATATTTCAAAACCATGTTGTACGAGAATCACTAAATTTGGTGCACAAGGGTTTTATGACATGTGGACTCTCACAGCGCTACGATTTTTAGCGAGAAACCCCCTTAAGACACTTTTTCATGGGCCCCCTTGTCTTTGGAACCAGAAAAATTTGGTCGCAAATTTGATTTTTTCAAAATTATTAGTTAGCTAGAAAGCCATTGAATTTAGAAACTTTTTTGTCTCTCGATATTTGTTTCGTAAAATGCAATGTTTTTGAGGAAAATGGCGAATCATTCGATACATTAAATCACATTTTGACATTTTTCTCGAAAACATTGCGCTTTATGAAAGAATTATAAAGAGACAAAAAGTTTCTAAATTTAGTGGCTTCCTAGTGGATAGATAATTTTTAAGAAATTTAAATATGCCACCAATTTTTTTCTGGCTCCAAAGACAAGGGGGCCCACGAAAAATTGTCTTAAGGGGGTTCCCCGCCAAAAAAAACGTAGCACCATCAGATTCCACATGTCATATAACCCCTGTGTACCAAATTTAGTGATTCTCGTGCAACAGGGTTCCGAGATATAAAAAAAAAGATTATTCTTAGGGGCGGACTTCAGGGGACTGTAACTCCGAAAGAGGGGGCCACTTGGCAAAAATAAAAAATACGGGTCTCCTAAATTTGTCTTAAGAATCTGTGACCAAATTTTATTGCATGAATTCCGGGACACCCTGTATAATTTGGCGAAATTATGAACTCTTTGTCAGTC